GCCCACATCGCCGCCGCCACCCACCGCCTAGAACCACGCCGTCGGCATCCATCCGCTGCTCCGGTGGTGGCCAGATGCGCCACAACAGAGCCCCCATCCCTCCCTCTCGCCTGCTCCACGTAAGTCGCATGATTCCGGCGAGCCCCGACATCTCCGCCACCGTGCAGCACAACGCTGAGCTCGCCTCGATCCGATGTGTCCTCTCCTCCTGCCGGATTCGCCGCTCATGGCCCCCCACCCGCGACCCTGCCCCGTGGTTAGGGTTTCGGGTGTTGGCTCCAACGCCGGCGGCTATGTCCGGTGATTTCATCCCCTCCCCTCCTTCCTCCTCCTCGCACTACTAGGGAAAACCCTAGTAGTAGCACGGGTTTTGAGGCTATTAGCAGCGCGGGTGGATGCGCTACTAATAAGACGCTACAGCTAACTCATAGTAGTAGCGCGGCCCTTACCAGCGCTACTACTGTTTACGATATCAGCAGCGCTTTTTTAGAATGCGCTTCTATTACCTAGTTGTAGCGATTTTGCCATCCCTCGCTACTGCTATATCTTTCATCATTTTCCCATTACCCCTTTCCCTTTCAGTTTCCCTTTCAGATACTAGATACTAGGTACTGCTAGTAGATATCAAATTCATAAACCATTACTAGGTAGTACTCCCTTCGTTCCAAATTACTCGTCGTGGTTTTAGTTCAAACCACGACGAGTAATTTGGAACGAAGGGAGTACTAGATAACAATTTCATGCATAGTCAACATGCATCCTCACGCAGTACAAGGTCATATCAACGGCCATCATCATATGTAGTTCTAGATGATATTGACGACGATCATCATATGTAGTTCTAGATGATATAGCCACATACACATATGTAGTTCTAGATGATATAGCCACACACACATATATAGTTCTAGATGATATCGAAGACAATCATCATCCTTAAGTCTGGGCGGTTGGTGTTCCTGATAGTAATTAGGATGGCCTGTCCACCACGAAGATTCTTGCCATCGAGGAATTTCTCCCACCCAACCGAGTTTAAGTGTGTGCGACCGTCCGTGTCCACGCGGTAAGTACAGGTTGTGACGGAGCCCCTTGCAGTAAGGCGTAGTCCAGCCGAGCCTTCTTCATCAGGCTCGATACCATAACTCACAGATATGCTCTTTGCCAATTTCTGAATAAGAAAAACATATCAATTAATAAATAGCCTCGCAAATAAGTACATATGGATTATCTACACTATTAATAGTTTCATTAGATTCTACACTAATAAGCATGTGATCGAACTCTACACTAAAACATATCATCGACTAGATTCCACACAACATACCATATCATTGGACTGTACACTAAGTAATTCATCGGATAATTTGCATTTGTAAGTATAACATACCATATCATGTCGATCAACCATGGTATTTGTCAAGCGAATCACGAATGGCACCCCGACAAAGTCAGCACGTGGCGGAATTATGTCCCACAGGTTGGACACCTCCTCCTCACTCAGCCTTGTTCTTTGAGCTACGATGGCTTCATGAAGTGGGTCCTCATCATCTTCATCGAGTGGGTCCTCATTATCTTCATCATCTTCGTCATCTTCATCATCTTCCACCAGGTTGAGATAAATGACAGCTAGCTTGGGTCTTTCTACTCGGAAGGAGAAGCTGATCAACTCACCACCAGTAACGCATGCGAGCGACGAAACGGGCCCATCCATCTCCTCCAATCTGCGACATATTGCGTCCTTTCTCAACCTCCATAGTGTACGGCCCACCAGGAGCCTCAAATATCACAGTGTCTCCTGTCAGCTTGTTGAATTTCAACCTCACATTGCATGGGACGATTTGTGTAAAATAAGCAAAATGACACAATGCAGTAATGCCAACACTAAAAACAAAATAGTTATTACATTTCATCTAATTTCTTACCACCGCATGACGAAAACTCGGCTGGAAGTAGATGCCGAACAACTTGCCAGTTGCAAGGCTGCTGGCGCATCTTGACTTGCACAGTCGACAGAGTGGTGGTGGTGGTGGCGCCATTTTTCCTAAAGCAATATGAGCAAAGGATTAACGATCAACTAAATCAAAATGTTCTAAGTCAACTAAATCAACTAGCCTAGTAAATCAACTAAATCAAAATGTTCCAAATCAACTAAATCAACTAGCCTACTAAATCAACTAAATCAAAATGTTCTAAATCAACTAATTAAATGAACTAACCTACTAAATCAACTAAATCAAAATGTTCTAAGTCAACTAAATCAACTAATTGAACTAGCCTATTAAATCAACTAAATCAAAATGTTCTAAGTCAACTAAATCAACTAAATGAACTAGCCTATTAAATCAACTAAATCAAAATGTTCTAAGTTAACTAAATCAACTAGCCTACTAATTAAATCAACTAAATCATATCAACTAAATCAAAATGTTGCATATGAACTAGCCTAGCTACTAAATCAAAATGTAGCGGGCAGGAGGGAGAAGGAGGGGCGACTCGAGGAGGGAGAAGAGAGTAGGATGGAGGAGGAAGGCGGAGCGAGGAGGGGCCGGACGGCGCGGCCAGTGTAGGGAGGACGGAGGAGGAAGGCGGAGCGAGGAGGGGCCGGCCAGCGGCGAGTGGAGAGGGAGGACGGAGGAGGAGGCCGGTACCGAGTCCAGCAAGGAGGAGGAGGTGACGGCGGCATAGACGGAGGAGGGGCGACGGGGGTGGACCGGCGCGGGGGATTGAGAGGGGATCCAGTGAGCTAGTGTGTGACTGTGTGAGTGTGGATCGGATAGAGGAGATGGGGCAAAACTTTTGTAGTAAATTTAGAAGGAAGCGCTTATTGAAGAAATGCGCTACTACTATGCTATGTAGCAGTAGCGCCCGTCGTTATAACGCGTTGCTGCTATAACTAGCCTCGTGGGAGTTATAGCAGTAGCGCTTCTTTGAGCAGGCGCGCTACTGCTATATTGGTTTCAGCAGCGAGTTACTCCCGAGCATGCTACTGCTAATTAGCAGCAGCGCTTTATTTTACAGCGCGCTGCTGATAAGATTCTGTGTATATGCTTTTCCCTAGTAGTGTCACCTCTCTCTTCCTCTCTCTAATCTCTTGTTTTGTAGCAGCAAAGGACGAGTTGGCTGAGGGGATGATCATGGTGGCGGCCAGATCTTCCATGGCTACAGCAACTGCCACCTCTCAACTGATTTTAGGTGTGCAAGAGGTAGTCAGATTTTTGGCCATGGTCTTGGAGTAGATATTGCATTAGCTCATGAACTAATTGTTCTTCTAGCTTTACTACTGGTTATCGATCAGAAACCGAATTGCAGGTTTATTGACTAGAAACTAATTTAGTTTAAATATGATCACCAATTGCAGGTTCAAGGAATTGTCCTCAACGTCACTCAATTGGGAAAGATAATGCAGAGGGGTTGGAAGTAAATTGCAGTGTCTCTGATAGCACCAACTGCCATTTATGGATCCAAGGTAAGATATTTAGTTTTCTAAAATGATATGCATCATTGTTAAATGTTGGAATTAGGCAGTCCAGCAACAAACTTGATGGCAACATGCCTCCTAGGAATAATAAGGACATTCTTTATATAGAGGGAAAGCAAAGACATAATTGTTTCTTCTGGTTTATTGTTACTTATTATATGTTGAGGCGCGACTAAATCATTTATGAAATTCCATAATAAACTTGTTATTTCTTACTATAGAAAGAT